GTGGTAGTTGTGGTAGTTGGTGCCGTTGTGGTTGTTGTGGTAGTTGGTGCAGTTGTGGTTGTTGTGGTAGTTGGTGCAGTTGTGGTTGTTGTGGTAGTTGGTGCAGCTGTGGTTGTTGTGGTAGTTGATGCCACTGTGGTAGTTGCTACACCCTGTCCATTTGAAGAAGCTGTTTCACAATAAAAATGTATTTACAGTACTTATCTTCATGCTCAGTTCAAATTTATTGTTTACCACTGAAGAAATTTGAATTTGTTCTTACCAGCAAACAGGAGGAGGACAACAAATATCTTGGTGAGCATTGTGATGATGTATATTTTTTTTCTGGTACCTGCAAATGGAATCATAAAAAGGTCAAAAACCAAACAATCAAAAGTTTGAGAATCATTCGTAGTTTAATAACAAACAGAAAACAAATTTGTTTAATTGTTATTTTCTTCTAATGTTGTCTCCAAAAATAAACTTTAAGTAGGTAATTGGAGAAACACTTAATTTTCATTAAATGCGCTCAGTTAAAAAAAAATCTGTTTAACTTTTTCCACCAGTAGACCAGGGAAGGTTTAATATACCTACATAAATTTAAATCAACATTCTGTGATTTTCAATAAAAAAAATAGCATAACAATAAAAAAACTGATTACCAATAAAGATATGATAAAGATAAAGCATAATAAAAAGAACAAAACTGTTCATGTGCAAAACACATATTCCACCACTCTAAACTGAAGAAATATAGACATGCAATGTAGTTTCAGGCAAAGTACTTACAGATAATTTCTCTGCTTKCGTGCTGCTCTCTGGAGTGACTCTGACGTTCTCAGATGTTAGGTCCTCTTTTATAGGCAAACAACCTGAGATAACGTTAGACTGAGGAGAAATGCAGGATGTACCGATCCACAATAAAGGGTGTGTCAGCTGGATTGGTCGCATCTTTCTRTTTTTGTTCTACAGAGTCAGTTACGGACAATGTTTATGAACAATCAAGCTGACGTTTCCTCGAATTACATCAAACATTTTTCGTTAGTTACGAGCTTACTTCGTAATGACGCTTGTCACTTCTCTGAGATATTCAACCAATATGTCGCCCTGGATTCATCAGTTTGTGATGCCGTGTGCAGTATTGCTTTAAAATGTTGAACTGTGAAAAGCATTTGAAGTCTAAACAAATATCTAGCATAAAAACAATCTCAATATTTAAAACTTCTTTTAAGATTTTTAACATTTGAAAATCCAGAAACGGTGTATTTATGACTTGTGCCCCCCCTTCTAACAAACTTGATAAAATTAAATAATGTTACACAGGATTGTTTTAGACAAGCTCAAAAACTGTTGTTTTCTACTTTATTAGATAAATGTGACAGAGATGCATTCAACTTTGTTGTTTTTATTWCTTGAGTRAAAAATGTGCCTCTTAATTAAAAAWTTACTTCCTTGTGTTCGTAACCAAAAGACTGAAAATTAARTTTTTTTCTATATTCTCCTAGTTGTACTATTGTTTTCAAGTGTTGTGATTTTTTTGTCCCACATGTATTATTACCTTCTTACTTTATTATCTCAGTTATGTGTTTATTTGTTTTTTTAGCAATTGACTTCATTTGCTGCTTTTTGATGTTGTTGTTGTTTTTTCTTCCAGATACGGTATGTTTTATCTGGTTTTGCTTCCTTGTTCTTTTGGACGACGCTTTCTTCTCACCACTTCATCTTTTTATAATTGCCTAATAATTATAGCTGCTCTTAGTCACAAGCATTGTGTTTTACAGGTTTTGTTCACTGCCATGCCCTCATTCACCTGCTTTTAAATGAACCTGGCCAAGCTTGATTCTGTTTMTTCTAACTTCTGTAGTTCTCATCACTAGTTAAAGCTACTTTCTTCTGCATTTGGGTCCTTGATATTTCCACTCTGTATCAGGACAGTATGGGTGGCTGGTTTTAAAGGTTTCTAAGTTGTCATAAATGTTGAAAATGAAGCCTAGGCATAATTTCAGACTGCTCTCCCCGCCTCACCTGCTTCTCCCRCCTGCTGAGTTAAGYGCCCAGCTGCAGCTCATCAGTGTCTGATCCTCACCTCACCCCGTCCAATCATCTTGCCGAGATCATCGCTAAAAGGCCCTGCATCCAAGGATTCACCGCTCCCCAGGGCAAGTTTCGACCCACCTCCACCCCATCTTCACCCTCAGCTAAGATCYGGCTACCTCTCCCCTTCGGCCTTTTCCCCAACATCAGTGTCTCTCTTTAAGCCGATCCTCAGTTCTCAGCATCTCGCAGCACTCATGTCTCCTGCTGGGGCTCGAGCGGCAAAGCTGGAGTGCCTAATTTTTTTGTTCTTTTTTTTAAATGAAAATGTTTGATTTTGTTTTTCACTGATAAAATAATCAACAGGTGCATGTTCACTTGAGCCTTCTTGGTAAAATTGTGCATTTACACAGAACAAYGAGCTGAGCAGAGAACCATCCAGCACCTTCACTTAGAGAGTACTTGTTGACTTTATTTGTTGGGCGGAAACAAATGAATAAAATGACTTGAAAAACCAGATTCAGCGAAGATAATTAGATTCAGGGAAGAAAATCAGATTCACTGAAGAAAGTTTTCTTCCTCAACCGGTTAGTTAGATGGAAGGGCAAAGACCAACAAAGGCAACATTCGGTCAAAATTCAAATAAAATCAAACATACATGAAAAAAAAAATCAAAACAGAATCTGATGACAAGACTTACTACAGCTCAGGTTCAGCGGGTGTTCACATTGATACAAAGCAAAAGAGCAATGATCCCAAACTACTGCATTAGAGAAAGTTAGTGGCGTAAGAGTGGCTTTTGAATTAGAATGAGAGGAGWTGTTGATTTGTACATTAACTTTAGGAGAATTATAAAAAAATATGTCAGTGTAACCYAAGCCTGCTCGAAATAGCCTTGCCAAATTAAAAGGCCTCATGTTCAAGGCAAACAGGTTACGTTCACCATGAAACAAAACTGGGAGTGGCATCCATTTATGTTTATTTTTTTGTGTGAGTGTTTGGTTTTCTTTTAGATAGAGTGCTTATTTCAATTAGTCCATTAGTGGCTTTCATGTAAATAGTATATGTAGTGTATGAGTTTATGTACTTTGGTCCAAAGTGCTTTTTGTGTTAAAAACAGATCAGGGATTTTTGGAATTGTATCCCTGGATGTTGGTAACAAAGACTGTCTGGTCACTGCAAAAACCGGAATTTAACAACACCATACTACTTAAATCTTAGTTAAATAGGAAAAGTGTAAATTTTAGATGATTAAAACTTTAGTTTTGTAAAAGTATAAAAGAGTTGGAGTGCCCGCAGTTTATTGTTCTCGCGATGTGGAAAAAAAAAACATCAGCCTTTAAAAATGGTTGTAGAACTTTAAGGATGTAATTTTCAAGCTGTTAAAATAAATMTATGAAAAGTTATCATCCAGAAACCTGTCCAGGTTGTACACATTTCATAAATACACACTGCTTGTGCAGACTTGCATACCTTGTTTCCTCTGTTTCGGCCCACACAAATAATATTAACTCAGACCAGTTCCTGCGTATCATTGGTCTTAATCATGATTTTTAAAGTGCTTGATGAATCATTGGGCATACAGATATTAACTGAGGTAATAAAAAGGATCATTTTAAAGTTTCACGTGCGTCATTACCAAGACAAAAAGTATCACCCAAGACAGCTTTAAATCCACCAACAAAAAAATATCAGCAGCTAGGATAAACAAAATAAATTAACAGATAAAAATATTACGTATAAGGTTCGGTTCAAATTTTACATGTCCTTCCTTTAAACAGTGTGCTTATAAACATGCAACTTTGGATAAACTGTATAGCTTCCTACCTGTTTCAGACTCCTTAGCTGTAATGCAAAGCACCTAATGAAATTCAAGGCCTCATCTGACTTTTAATATCATAACAGCACCCTCTGCAGGACAGGGTGCAACGTAAAACATAATATGAAGCATGTTAGATAACTGACAGGAACTATAAATGAAATGTATGGCTTTATCTGTTTTTCCACTTTTATTATAGATGTTTAAGTAGTTGGCTTCGCAAATGCCAGTGAAAGAAAGGGTGACACCCAGCACGACACAAGTGAATGACAAAAAACAAGCTAAAGGATGGAGACATTTAGCTTGGCACTTAAGCTGATAGGTAAATGTATTTACTCAAGCAAAAAAATAAGATTAAGGAAAACCACATTCTCAAGACAATATGAACATTGCTGTTTTTAAAACTTAGTATCTTAAACGGTGCTTTATTCACACATATACCAATTATAAAGGTTTTTGCTGAAATACACTATATGGCTTAAAATKTATAACTTAGACCATACTAATGATTCGCCCAGCCCTGCCCTGTGAGTCAGTGGCAAAAATATAATTAAAAGAATACAAAAAACAAGTTTTAACAGAACATTGTCCAGTCCATTTGTATTATTTTTACCTGTTCAAGCTTTTATTGAATAAACAAGTRTAGTGCTTATATGATCATGATGATTCATATGCTATCATTATGAATTAAACTAGTGTAGGTTGTTAAATATTTGCTATTATTTTGACTAGATCTGCATTAACAGTTTCTACAAACATTAAAATTTTATTTATTTATTTATTTATTTGTTTAGTTGTTTATTTATTTATTTGTGCTTCATCAAATTTTGTAAATTAACTGAAAATAATATATTAGCTTTGATTGATGGTAACTAAACACAGTTAAAGTATGATGACTATATAGCCTAAAATACTTCAATTTATTTCACTTTAATAAAAAAATATACATTCACTTTTTTCAATTTAATGAAAATTATTTTATTTTAATTCAATTAAAACACTGCATGGTTAATTTTGCAGCAGTAAAAAACAGATAATAATGGTTTGATTTACATTGTTAAAAACAGCAATTATCTTGTTACACAGTGCTGTTTGTGTTACTCAGTCTTGTGATAAGATGGAGTTAAAAATCCTTGTAGAATTCACTACAGACAGGTTGGTAAATCTGTGTCCTTTTAGATCAATGCCATGTCAAGTCATGCTGCCAAAATGTTTGAAAATAGAAAATATTTTCCCCTGGAACCCTTCCAAACAACCCATACTTGTTCRGTCTTTTTATGATAAGCCTGTTAATGGACTGAACATTTGCACTGCTTACTGAGGCTCATAAAGATTTGCATATAGTAACACTTATTTTCTGTTTGTTAGTTAATTTTATTTTTTCTTTTCTTTTTCAACTTTTAATAAGTTTGACATCTGAAGTGCAGTGTATGACCCCAAGGTCATGTCTATGTAATAGACAGTTGGGATCAGGAAGTCGGACAATTTAGATGTAGGCTACTGGTACATATTCATGCTAAGATTTGAGTAACGTTTTGCAGGAAAAAAAAGTTTTTGGTTTACAACAAGTGCTTACCAGCATTTCAGAAATGCATAGCAATTTATCTGAACAAGTAATTGAGTAAACTCTTTGAAATTGCACTCTTTGACATAGTTCAGAATCACAGTTGTTATTCCTTATTTGCAATAACATGTTATTTACATAACATCTTATCCAAATTATCCTTAGACGGTGTGGCTAAGGTAACAGTCCATCCATAGTACCAGTAAATTTAAAATAGTAAATCAGAAAAGCAAAGAAAAATGATTATTTATTTATTTATTTATTTATTTACATTAAAGAAATTGTTGAAATAGAATTGAATTTATTGTGGTTTGTGTAATGGCAGTAAAATTTATACGACAATTTTAATTTGAATTGTGATGTATTTATTAAGTGTCCACACTCAGATATGAACCACTCTATTAATTTCACACATAAAATCACACTGAATCAAAGTGATTTGGATTTGATACAAAGACTTTTGAAAATAGATGAAGGTTACAAAACAATCACAACTATTGGAAAACCAGTCTCATACTATACAATGTTGCAAAAGACAAATAAATATTAAATGAAAAGTAATTACTTGATATAAGTTAAATAAAATTTAAAAAATCAAACATGCAAAACAATGACATCTTATAGCACATGCAATCTACAAGGTTTTGTTACATAAACATGATTTTATTTATCTCTGTGTATATACAGTATTAGAATATTTTGAAAGAGTTTTGCGCTTGCTTTAGATTGTGAAAAAATATGAAAAGTTGACATTGCACAGCATGGTTAACAGTTTATACTTGCATCACATTAAAAACTGTCAGAGTATTCAAGGCCAATAAAATACATATAAAAATTAATAAATAGTGAAGAACTTTTGGGTTTATGATTTTTGCAGACTCGAGCGGACATTTTCACTTAAGGGCTTAATTCAAAATAACTACTGTAACAACTGCCAATATGGCAAAAACGACACTTGTTTTGTGATAGACTACAGATGAAGAGGATGATGATGAACTAGTGGTGGTTTTTGTTGAGGCAGATGTGGCTGTTTGAACTGATGTGATTGTTGTTGCAGCCGTTTTAGTAGTGGTTGCAGTAGTTTTTGAAGTAGCTGGGGATGCTGTTGAAGCAGATGTTGGGGTTGTTGTTGAAGCTTTAGTAGTTGTAGTAGTATTTGGAGCAGCTGCAGATGTTGTTGAAGCAGATGTGAGGGTTGTTGAAGTAGGTGTGGTTGTTGGTGTTGTTGAAGCTTTAGTAATAGTTGTAGCAGTATTTGGAACAGCTGTGGATGCAGTTGAAGCAGACATGGGGGTTGTTGGAGCAGGTGTGGTTATTGTTGTTGTTGAAGATTTAGTAGTTGTAGTAGCATTTGGAGCAGATGCTGTTGAAGCAGATATGAGGGTGGCTGGAGTACGTGTGGTTGTTGATGTTGCAGCTGTTTTGATTGTTGGGATAGCTATGGTTGTTGATGGAGCAGCTGTGGTTGTTGTAGGTGCAGCTGTTTTGGTTGTTGGAGCAGCTGTGGTTGATGTTGAAGTAGCTGTGGTTGTTATAGAAGTTGKGGTTGTTGTAGGAGTAGTTGTTGTTTTTGTAGGAGCAGCTGTGGTTGTTGTTGGTGCCGTTGTGGTTGATGTTGAAGTAGCTGTGGTTGTTGTAGGAGTAGTTGTGGTTGTTGTAAGAGTAGTTGTGGTTGTTGTAGGAGCAGCTGTGGTTGTTGTTGGTGCGGCTGTGGTTGATGTTGGTGCGGCTGTGGTTGATGTTGGTGCGGCTGTGGTTGATGTTGGGGTAGCTGTGGTTGTTGTTGGGGCACCTGCAGTTGTAGTTGGAGAAGCAGTGGATGTTGTAGAAGAAGCTGTGATTGTTGATGTAGCAGCGGTTGTGGTGGTTGGTGCAGCTGTGGTTGTTGTTTCCGCAGCTGTGGTTGTCATAGGAGTAGCTGTGGATAGTTTTGGAGAAGCTGTGGTTGTTATAGGAGCAGCAGTGGTTGTTGTTGGAGCAGATGTGGTTGATGTTGGAGTAGCCATGGTTATTGCAGAAGCAGCTGTGGTTGTTGATGTAGCAGTGGTGGTGGATGTTGTGGCAGCTGTGGTTGTCGTAAGAGCAGCTGTGGTTACTGCTGGAGCAGCTGTAGTTGTTGTAGGAGCAGAATTGGTTGTCTTTGGAGAAGCTGTGGTTGTGGTAGAAACAACTGTGGTTGTTGATGAAAGAGCTGTGGTGTTTGTGGTGGCAACTGTGGTTGCTGTTGGACCAGCTGTGGGTGTCATTGTAGGAGCTGTGGTTGTTCTTGGTGCAGCCTTGGTTGTTGTTGCAGCAGCTGTGGTTGTTGGTGGGGCAGCTGTAGTTGTTTTTGGAGGAGCTGTGTTTGTCGTAAGAGCAGCGGTTGTTGTTGTTGTAGGAGCAGAAATGGTTGTTGTTGGTGCAGCTGTGGTTGTTGTTGAAGCAACTGTGGTTGTCATAGGAGCAGAAGTGGTTGTTGTTGGGGCAGGTGTCATTATTGTTGAAGAAGCTCTGGTTGTTGGTGAAACAGCTATGGCTGTTGTTCTGGCAGCTTTGGTAGTCGTAGGAGCAGTTGTGGTTGTCGTAGGAGCAGATGTAATTGTTGTAGGAGCAGAAGTGGTTTTTGTTGGGGCAGCCGTGGTTGTTGTTGGAGCAGCCGTGGTTGTTGTAGAAGCAGAAGGGGTTGTTCTGGGAGTGACTGTGATTGATTTTGGTGTAGCTGTGATTGTTGTAGGAGCATCTGTGGTTGTGGTAGAAGCAGTTGTGGTTGTTGATGTAGCAGCTGTGGATGTTGTTGGAGAAGCTGTGGTTGTTGTTGGGGCAGTTGTAGTAGTTGTTCTGGCAGCAGTGGTAGTTGTAGGAGCATTGGTGGTTGTTGTATGAATAGGTGCGGTTGTTGTTGAGGCACTTGTAGTTGTTTTTGGAGCTATGGTTGTTGGAGACACTGTGGTTTTTGTAGAAGCAGTTGTGGTGGTTGTGCTTGCAGAAGTTGTGGTTGTTGTGGCAGCTGTGGTTGCTGTTGGAGCAGCTGTAGTTGTTGTAGGAGCAGAAGGGGTTGTTGTGGGAGTAACTGTAGTTGATTTTGGATTCACTGCGGCTGTTGTAGAAGCAGCTGTTATTGTTGAATGGGCAGCTGTTGTTATTGATGTAGCAGTCGTGGTGGTTGTTGGAGCAGCTGTGGTTTTTGATGTAGCAGCTGTGGTTGTTGTTGGAGCAACACTGGTTGTTGTTGGAGCAGCTGTGGTTGTTGTAGGTACAGCCGTGGTTGTTGTAGGTACAGCCGTGGTTGTTGTCGAAGCAGTTGTGGTGGTTGTTGGAGCAGCTGTGCTTGTTGTTGGAGCAGCTGTGGNTTGTGGTTGGAGCAGCTGTGGTTGTGGTTGGAACAGCTGTTGTTGTTGTTGGAGCAGCTGTGGTTGTTGGAGCATTTGTGGTTGTGGTTGGAACAGCTGTGGTTGTTGTTTGAGCAGCTGTAGTTGTGGTTACTGCAGCTGTGGTTGTGGTTGGAATAGCTGTGGATGTTGTTGGAGCAGTTGTGGATTTTGTTGGGGCAGCTGTAGTTGTGGTTATTGCAGCTTTGGGTGTTGTTTGAGCAGCTGTAGTTGTGGTTGGAGCAGCTCTTGTTGTTGTTGGAAAAGCTTTACTTGTGGTTGGAGAAGCTGCAGTTGTTGATGGAGCAGCTGAGGTGGTCGTTTGAGCAGCTGCTGTTGTTGGGGTAGCTGAAGTTGTGGTTATTGCAGCTGTGGTTGTGGTTGGAGCAGCTGTGGTTGTTGTTGGACTAGCTGTGGTTGTGGTTGGAGCAGCTGTGGTTGTTGTTGGAGCAGCCGTGGATGTAGTTGGAGCAGCTGAGGTTTTTGTTGGAGCAGCTGTAGTCGTTGTTAGAGATGCTGTAGTTGTGGTTATTGTAGCATTGGTTGTGGTTGGAACAGCTGTGGTTGTGGTTCGAACAGCTATAGTTGTGGTTGGAGCAGCTGTGGTTCTGGTTGGAGCAGCTGTGGTTGTTGTTGGAGAAGCCTTGCTTGTTGTTGGAGCAGCTGTGGTTGTGGTTTGAGAAGCTGCAGTTGTGGTTACTGAAGCTGTGGTTGTAGTTGGAGCAGCTGTAGTTGTGGTGATAGCAGCTGTGGTTGTGGTTGGAGCAGCAGTGGTTGTAGTTGGAGCAGCTGTAGTTGTTGTTGGAGCAGCTGTAGTCGTGGTTATTGCAGCAGAGGTTCTGGTTGGAACAGCTGTAGTTGTAGTTGCAGTAGCTGTGTTTGTAGTTGGAGAATCAGTAGTTGTTGTTAAAGCAGCTGTGGTTGTGGTTTGAACTGCTGTAGTTGTGGTTGGAGCAGCTGTGGTTGTGGTTATAGCAGCTGTGGTTRTAGTTGGAACAGCTGTAGTTCTGGTTGGAGCAGTTGTGGTTGTGGTTATAGCAGCTGTGGTTGTGGTTGTGGTTGGAGCTACTGCAGTTGTGGTTATAGCAAATGTGTTCGTGGTTGGAGCAGCTCCAGTTGTGGTTGGAGCAGCTGTAGTTGTGGTTATAACAGCTGTAGTAGTGGTTGGAGAGGCTTTGGTTGTTGTTGGAGCAGCTGAGGTTGTTGTTGGAGCAGCTGCTGTTGTGGTTGGAGCAGCTGTAGTTGTGGTTATTGCAGCTGTGGTTGTGGTTGGAGCAGCTGTAGTTGTGGTTATTGCAGCTGTGGTTGTGGTTGGAGTAGCTGTTGTTGTGGTTGGAGCAGCAGTGGTTGTTGGAGCATTTGTGGTTGTGGTTGGAGCAGCTGTGGTTGTTGCTGGAGCAGCTGTAGATATTAATGGAGCAGCAGTAGTTTTGGTGATTGCAGCTGTGGTTGTGGTTGTAACTGCTGTAGTTGTGGTTGGAGCAGCTGTGGTTGTTGTTTGAGCAGCTGAAGATGTGGTTCGAGAAGCTGTGGTTGTTGATGGAGAAGCTGTGCTTGTTGTTGGAGCAGCTGTGGTTGTGGTTGGAGAAGCTGCAGTTGTGGTTACTGAAGTTGTGGTTGTGGTTGGAGCAGCTGTAGTTGTTGTAGCAGCTGTAGTTGTGGTTGGAGGAGATGCAGTTGTGGTTGGAGGAGATGTAGCTTTTGGAGCAGCTGTGGTTGTGGTTTGACCAGCTGTAGTTGTGGTTGAAGAACCTGTTGTTGTGGTCGGAGCAGCTATGGTAGTTGTTGGAGCAGCTGAGGTTGTTGTTGAAGCAGCTGCTGTTGTTGTTGGGGCAGCTGTAGTTGTGGTTATTGCAGCTGTTGTTGTGGTTGGTGCAGCTGTGGTTGTGGTTGCAGCAGCTTTAGTTGTGGTTACAGCAGCTGTAGTTGTGGTTATTGCAGCTGTGGTTGAGGTTGGAGGAGCTGTAGTTGTGGTTGGAGCAGCTGTAGTTGTTGTTGGAGCAGCTGTGTTTGTTGGAGCAGCTGTGGTTGTTGTTAGAGCAGCTGTAGTTGTGGTTATTGCAGAATTTGTTGTGGTTGGAACAGCTGTAGTTGTGGTAGGAGCAGCTTTGCTTGTTGTTGGAGCTACTGCAGTTGTGGTTAAAGCAACGGTGTTCGTGGTTGGAGCAGCTCCAGTTGTGGTTGGAGCAGCTCCAGTTGTGGGTGGAGCAGCGGTGGTTGTGGTTGGAGCAGCTGCGGTTGTTGTTGGAGCAATTGAAGATGTGGTTGGAGCAGCTCTAGTTGTGGTTGTAGGAGATGTAGCTTTTGGAGCAGCTGTGGTTGTGGTTGGAGCAGCTGTAATTGTGGTTGTAGCAGCTATGGTTGTTGTTGGAGCAGCTGAGGTTATGGTTGGAGCAGCTGTAGTTGTGGTTGGAGGAGATGTAGTTGTGGTTAGAGGAGATGTAGCTTTTGGAGCAGCTGTGGTTGTTGTTGGAGCAGCTGTGGTTGTTTTTGGAGCAGCTGAGTTTGTGGTTGGAGCGGCTGTAGTTGTTTTTGGAGCAGCTGTAGTTGTGGTTGGAGGAGATGTAGTTGTGGTTGGAGGAGATGTAGCTTTTGGAGCAGCTGTGGTTGTTGTTGGAGCAGCTGTAGTTGTGGTTATTGCAGCATTGGTTGTGGTTGGAGCAGCTGTGGTTGTAGTTGGAGAAGCTGTGGTTGTCGTTGGAGCAGCTGAGGTTGTTCGTGGAGCAGGTGCTGTTGTTGGGGCAGCTGTAGTTGTAGTTATTGCAGCTGAGGTTGTGGTTGGAGCAGCTGTAGTTGTGGTTGGAGGAGATGTAGTTGTGGTTGGAGGAGATGTAGCTTTTGGAGCAGCTGTGGTTGTTGTTGGAGCAGCTGTAGTTGTGGTTAAAGAAGCTGTGGTTGTAGTTGGAACAGCTGTAGTTGTGGATTGAGCAGCTGAGGTTGTTCSTGGAGCAGCTGTTGTTGTAGTTATTGCAGCTGTGGATGTTGTTGGAGAAGCTGAGGTTGTTGTTGGATAAGCTGTAGTTGTTGTTATAACAGCTGTAGTTGTGGTTATTGCAGCATTGGTTGTGGTTGGAGCAGCTGTGGTTGTAGTTGGAGCAGCTGAGGTTGTTCGTGGAGCAGGTGCTGTTGTTGGGGCAGCTGTAGTTGTAGTTATTGCAGCTGTGGTTGTCGTTGGAGCAGCTGTAGTTGTGGTTGGAACAGCTGTAGTTGTGGTTATTGCAGCTGTGGTTGTGGTTTGAGCAGCTGTGGTTGTTGTTGGAGCAGCTGTGGATGTTGTTGGAGAAGCTGAGGTTGTTGTTGGAGCAGCTGTAGTTGTTGTTATAGCAGCTGTAGTTGTGGTTATTGCAGCATTGGTTGTGGTTGGAGCAGCTGTGGTTGTAGTTGGAGAAGCTGTGGTTGTAGTTGGAGAAGCTGTGGTTGTAGTTGGAGAAGCTGAGGGTGTTGTTGGAATAGCTGTAGTTGTTGTTATAGCAGCTGTAGTTGTGGTTATTGCAGCATTGGTTGTGGTTTGAACAGCTGTAGTYGTGGTTGGAGAAGTTGTAGTTGCGGTAATAGTCGCTGTGGTTGTGGTTGGAACAGCTGTAGTTTTGGTTGGAGCAGCTGTGGTTGTTGTTGGTGCTACTGTAGCTGTGGTTGAAGAAACTGTATTAGTGGTTGGAGCAGCTTTGGTTGTAGTTGGAGCAGCTGAGGTTGTTGTTGGAGCAGCTGCTGTTGTTGTTGGGGCAGCAGTAGTTGATGTTATTGCAGCTGTTGTTGTTGGAGCAGCTGTAGTTGTGGTTATTGCAGATGTGGGTGTGGTTGGAGCAGCTGTTGTTGTTGGAGCATTTGTGTTGGTGGTTGCAGCAGCTGTGGTTGTTGCTGGAGCAGCTGTAGTTTTGGTTATTGCAGCTTTAGTTGTGGTTATTGCAGCTGTGGATGTTGTTGGAGCAGCTGTGGTTGTTGTTGCAGCAGCTGTGGATGTTGTTGGAGCAGCTGTGGTTGTTGTTGGGGCAGCTGTNGCAGCTGTAGTTTTGGTTATATCAGCTTTAGTTGTGGTTATTGCAGCTGTGGTTGTTGTTGGAGCAGCTGTGGTTGTTGTTGGGGCAGCTGAAGTTGTGGTTATTGCAGCATTGTTTGTTGTTGGGGCAGCTGTTGTTGTGGTTGGATGAGATGTAGTTGTGGTTGGCACAGCTGTAGTAGTTGGAACAGCTATCGTTGGAGCAACTGTTGACATAATCATATCTGCCAAAACAAACATGTATTAATTGCCTTTTATAGTCCAAATTTGCAGTGGATAAAACTTACAGTTTACATGGTAATTAGAGCTTGTCACAWGTACAATTGTGTGATATTTGCAAACTCTTATTGACATTTTATAATTATTTATCACAAATGATGAAAGGCCAGCACATTTTTTATCTTGAAGAGTTATCCTATTGACCTCACCTTTCTGTACATTTGTGAGCATTATTTTACATTCCTGAAACTTTTTTATACCTGTGCACTTTTCTACTTACATCTGCCATCCACAGCAAGTGAATTACTGTCAATGGTRAATTCTGTGATGTTTGAAGCCGCCTCCAGCAACACCGCTACAATTTCAGTGTCAGTAGGGACTGATGTGGGTGTAAATCCAAGGCTCACATTGTTGATGACTGACCCTCTCCTGCAAAATAAATAAGTTTTAAAATATACTACAGATTACTGAAAAATCTTCAGATCTTTGGTAAAAAAGTACCCAAATGCAAATGGTCCAAAGGAATGAAGTGAAGAAAATCTGTTTCTGTAGCGTAGCTCAAGCTATAGGAGACAAAAAAAAAAAAGGTTTAAACTTCATCGGGGGTGTAGATGAGATTTTTGAACTTTTGAGGGTAGGTCAAGTTTTCAGCAAATGATTTCAACCCAAGCCATTTTTGTGTATTTTGGGCTTTTACATGGAGTAGTCACTTTTGTAATTGCCCATGGACGAATAGTTTGCATTAAAATAAAATTGAATTGTTTGAACTGAAGGATAAACAACAATAAAC